GGGGGGGGGGTGCAAAGCACAGCCTGCTCCGAAAATAAAACCCCAGTTCCCTCTCGCCACCCGTGTTGGCTCTCGGGGTCCCCCATCGACGGGCGTTGGATGACGATCACACCAGATAGCTGGAGCGCGTGATTGCTTCCGTTTTCTGTACACGTGACTGTCGGCAGATGCTCCGTGGCGAACGCCTAGCACGCCAAGCTGGCGGGAGGATGCTCCCCTGCCACGCCGCCGGCGCCCTCGGTGACTCGCCCGTCTGGCAGGGTACCGTCGGTCTGCCGGGGAGTGCGTGGGCTTCCATGAGCCGCCCTGGCGCCCCCCTCTGTGCCCCCCTGGTGCGGAAAGTGCCAACATCGCCACGCTGGGAGGCGGGAGAGGGTGCCTGGACCGGGGGACTACCATATGGGGGGGGGGGGGGGTGCGGGGACCACGATCGCGCACCTGGAAGGGGTAGGCTGAGAAAAAAACGTGAAAGCATCGGTATTGGACCAGGCAATATTCACGACATATATGGTATGGATGTGCGCACAAACAGGCTTCTCGCGGGTGGAGGTCCATCCGAAAACAACCTGCCACGCCACAGCCTGCTGCAAGAGGCATCCCCCGTCGGCCCTCCCCCGGCGTGTGCGAATGTGGCGCAGGCTGGCGAGGCTGGCAGGGACTGGCCGACCGCGCGGCCTCAGCTCCTTGGCCGCCAGATGCCCATTCCCAGGGGGGGCATGTGTCTCGCTCGGGGGCGTTCAGATGCCCGAGGCACCCCCCCCCCCCTGCTGAATCTTGCTCCCTACCCTACCACCTGCACTCCCAGTCAAGCCGGCAGGCAGGCAGGAGGTAAGCAGGCCGCTGGGCCATGGTTGCACTGTGTCGGGCGGTTAATCCGTACGTTTTCCCAAAGGCAGAACCGTCTGGACGGTTTCCCTGCCGATCACACCCGGCCATCGGCCATGGTCTGGCGGGCCACCCCTGCCCTCCCTCAGGGCTGGGTGCATGCGGGCACGCGCGAGTGTGCCGGCTGAGGCGGGCATGGGTGTGCGCCCGGCCGCCCGGCCGCCCGGCCAGGGTCCCTGCCAGGCGCGGTGCCCTCGGGCCCGATCGACTTCTAGATCGCCCGGCCCATGCCGCGCGTCACTGTCCCCGACTCCCCTCCCTCAAGGGGAGGCGCGCCCTACCTCGGCTGCGGCGCCTTTCTGCCCCACAATAGCTCCGCCTCTTTCCCTGCCAGCAGCCCCCTCCCCCTTGCTGTCCCGCTCATCTCCCGCTCTCTCTCTCTCTCTCTCTCCCGCGCTCTCTCTCTCTCTCTCTGCCCCTGCCCCACTCTCCGCACCATGTCCACTCCCTCGTCTCCCATTGACGCCGGCGACTGGATTGACCTGTCGCTCTTGGTCCCGGCCGGGCCGGATGCGCCGGATCTCGAGTATGACCCGGACACCGCCAACCGCATCCTGACGGAGGCCCTGCAGCCCGGGGCCCCGGAGGCCGAGCGCGCGGCCCTTCTCCTGCCGGCTGCCACGGACCCCAGCTCCCTGCCGTTCCTCCGGCCCCGGTGGGCCACGGCCGCCCATGCCGGGCGCCAGGCCGGCACCAAGATCACCCTGCCGCCGAACCCGAATGACACGTCTGATGGCGATGACCATGTTGATCCGCCGGTCAGCGAGGATGCCCTGGACCAGCTGCTGGCCGCGGTGGCCCGGTCCTCGGCCTTCCGTTTCCCCCAGTCCGATGAGGATGCCCTGGCCTCGTTGGATGATGAGGACCAACGCGAGGCGTTCACCGAGCTGCGTGAGCGCCTTTCCGGCGCCTTCGACGGCAGCGAGCCCCTCGCCGCTCCGGACGCCCTCTTCCCCCTGGATGGGGCGTGCCTGGTGCGGTATCTGCGTGCGCGGAACTTCTCCGCCGCCGACGCGGAGAAGATGCTGCGTGCCACGTGTGAGTGGCGCTCCGCCACCAAGCCCTATCGCATTCGCCGGTCGGACATCTGCGCCGAGGCCGAGACTGGCAAGCTCTTTGGCTCGGGCTTCGACCATGGCGGTCGGCCGGTCCTCTCCATGGCCCCGGGCCGGGAGAACACCTCCACCTTTGAGCGTCAGAGTGCGTGCCGTATCCCTCAGCCCCCGCCCGCCCGACGCCGCGAGGTTGTAAAACACATGGCGTTGTGACGGGCCTGTCCTCGTTTGCTTCCGGCCTTTTCCTCGCCTGCCTTTTCCTCGCCTGCCCTTTCCTCCCCTCGTGCCTCTGTCGCGGTGTGACATATGTCTCTCTCCCTCTCCCTCCGTGACTGTTTTATTTTCATCATTAACTAACACCATCATCTCCCTGCCTCCCTCTCTCCCTCTCGCCTCCCCGGTGCCCAGTTCTTCATGTGCTCTTCACTTTCGAGGCTATGGTGGCCCTCATGCCGCGCGGCGTGTCCCAGTGGCTGGTTCTGATTGATTTCGACAACTACAGCAGCTCGACCTTCCCCTCGATCGGGCAGTCGAAGAACTTCATCAATGTCCTGTCTCACCACTACCCCGAGCGTCTGGGCAAGACCTTCATGATCCGGTCCCCCTGGATCTTCTACCCTGCCTTCAAGGTGGTGTCTGGCTTCCTGGATCCGAAGACCTCCTCCAAGATTGCGTTTGCCGGGGAGAAGGCCAATGACGAGGGGCGCCAACTCATCCAGGCCATGCTGCCGGCCGAGCATACTGAGCGTCGCCTCCACCCGGAGGGCCAGGTTGTGGTGGAGCTGTCGCCGGCTCCGGCGAACAAGGCCGAGCAGGGGCATTCCGGCTCCATTCCCCGTTTCGACATCAACCTTCACCTGGATCGCATTCTCTCTTTGCTCCATGCCATTTATTGAGGCAGGTGATCGACCGGCCCAAGTGCAGGGCCATTGGTGTGTCCGTGGTGCCACGGCATCATCACCCCCACCACCATGGCTTCTCCCCTTTCTCCCCCTCCTTCTAAACCCTCACAATAGATAGACAACTTGCATGCGCGCCGATTTCCGGAGAAGGGGAGAGATGACAAAGCACAGGACACTGATCTATTGTTGTGCACTCCCACCATTCCGCACATGGGACAGTGGAAAGATAGAGGCAGAGAGAGAGAGGAAGTGGGTCACGGCGAAGGGAACCGGAAGGATAAAGGGGGGGGGGAGGGGAGGAGTAGTGTGGCCCAAGGTCAGAAGAAACGCCGAACAATGTAGACGGCAGCGCGCACGCCAAGGGCCACGCGGCGCTCCTGCGCATGGTCCAGCACAGCCCCGGTTACCCGGGCCACAGGGCTATAGAGAATGGCCTGCTCGTCGGCCAGACGTCGCCGAAGGTCGGGATTGGCGGTGGAAATCATGATTTGGGACTCGATATCGCGTGTCGTCGAGCGGTGGCCTTTCGACAGGATGTCAGCGGAACGGCAAAGAGGCAGAAGGAGAGAAAGAGCGAGAGCGAGAGAGAGCGAGGGAAGGGCGTGGCACCGAGACAGGGGGATGTGTCATACCGTAATTCGGAGAGCCAACCATTGTCATGGAGGGCGGCTCGGTGGACGTTGGTCGATACCAAATCCCTGCGACCGGCGGCGGGGGACGAGAGTGGGAGGAGGGGTTTCAAGGGGTTAAATGGCAGCAGCAGCAGGTAAAGATGCGAGAAAGAGAGAAGGAGACAGCGCGTGCGCGCGGAAGAAAACATTCAACGGTGGTCAAGGGTCGAGGCGCGCACCCTTCCCGTGGAAGGTCCACCCGGCCTTTGCCCACTCCCAGAGGCGGATCTGCCCTCCCTGGGCATTGGCCCCGGCCTCGGTGGACTCCACCCGGTGGAGGAAGTCCCGGGAGATTTGCGTATAGACCGAGGGCACATGTCGGGCGATGCCATTGGCCCCGAAGAAGCCGTTGGCCTCCGGGGCGGCCGTCAGCAAGTCGACCGAGGAGAAGCCACTGCTGGAGGAGGCCAGCATGCCGGGCGGGACATCCCGCGGGCCGGACTCGTGATCGGGGGTCTGCGACTGGGCCAGCATGGCGAAGCCCAGCCCCGGGGGCAGGGCAGTCACGTCGGACGGGAGCCCCGGCGTCCGAGCAGACGCCAAAAGTGCTGGCTCCAGCTGGTCACAAAGGTTCAGGTACCCCGTGGCCAGGTGCAGGGAGGGCCGCATGGAGGCCAAGCTCGAGCCAGGCCCGGCCGGGGTCTGGCGATCCAGCGAGGCCGACGAGGCCGACACCGTGGGCGGCTGCTCGGCATCCTGAGGGCCGTCTTCCGGGATCGGAGTGCGCGGAGCCAAGAAGCTCAGCACGTCGGACGGCCCGCGGAAGAGGGCGCGCGTGAAGAGAGCATCCTGGTGCACCCCGAGCGGGGCAGCCTGGATAAAGGGAACGATGAAGGTGTCCAAAAGCTCGGCCTCCTCGGTGGTGACCGAATGCAGCGGCGAGGAAAGGGCCACATGGTCGATGCCGAGGGAGTGCAAGTCCTCGGCGGTCGAGCGAGATTGCAAGCCATTGGGCGACCCCCCCCGGGGGCTGGCATATGTTGAGGGAGCAATGTCCGAGGCCCGGAGAACCGGATGCCGGTTTGGATGGCGGAAGAGCTCAGCACGCAGGGCGTTTGCCAGGGGAAGGGTTTTCCTGGCCGAAGTACGGGAGGCAGAGTGAATAAAGAGGGAGGAGGGTGGAGCAAGCCAAGCAGCCGGGGGCGAGTCAAGTGGGAAAAGCGTACTGGCGCTGCATGCGGATGAAGGACACCAGGCGGTTGCTGCGAACGCCAAGAAAAAAAAATAGACCAGGAGCATGGGCCGGGGAGCGGGGAAAGGCGTTCAGGTGAGCAAGAGGGGGGCACAAAGGACTACTGAGGAGGGCAGGGAGGCGTTTGGTCTCGAGAGAGGGAGAGAGAGAGACAGCATCGGACGTACTGGCCCAACTGACGCAGAATGGCCGAGTCGGAGGCGGCATCGATGTCACACTGCCAGATGTTGCCCAGGGTGTCGATGACAGTGTAGTCCGGCGAGTCGGGGACGGTGGTTCGCTCGACCCGGTCTTTCGGAGGGGGCTCGCTGCCGGCCGGCAGACGCCCAGCGTAAGCCCGACCGATGGAGCGAAGAACTTGCCCGAAGTCCCAGTAGTAGTCCGAGAGGTCGGCCGACCGGCTGAGGAGAATGTACCGGTCCTGGCGAGTGGTGAAGTACTGGCCAGCCAGGTTGGCGCCCGAAAGAATGCAATTGTCATCGACGATGTAGGCCTTGGCGTGCTGGACGCCGATCACCTCATTGAACCGAGGGGGAAGCGCGCTGCAACGATTGGCCACAAGAGGAAAGGAGGACCCATATCCAGCAGGGAGAGAGGGCGAGAGAGGGGGAGAGCCGGAATAAATGATGGGTTAGGACTTGGGGGGCGGGCGGTCGGGCGGCGAGCTGCGGGCCGAGGAGGGGTCGACCCTGACCAACGGACGTACGCCTTCAACAGGCCATTTAGATCCGGCGTGTGGTAGAAAGAGAGCTGGACGCGGTCCGCGCCGAAGGTATGCCACAAGGGCCGGAGCAAATCCAGGGATGACTGAGCTGGCAGGTGCTCATAGAAAGAGGAGACGGCCGGGCCGGAGGAGGCGTCGGGCAAGGAGGTGGACGTCAAATCGCCGGTGTCCTCGCCGGTCGGGCCATCGGGCCGGGTCCCGCGCATGGCATCCAGCACGATGTGCACCTGGAGGCCGGGCTCCCGGGCGAGGGCCTCATGCAGAGCCGCAGTCAGGGTCCTTTCCACCGGCCCGGTGCCGAGGTACAGCGAAGTAAGGAGGATGCGATGCCGGGCTTCGGCGATCTCGGCCAGCAGGCGCGTGGCGAAGGTGGTCGGAGTGGGGAGCACGACCACCTGCGAAGCGGTGTGCGAGAAGACCGGCGGCAGGAGGTACCCATCGGCCGGGGCCTCGGTCAGAACCGAGGCCTCGGTCGAGGGGGCGTCGGTGGCAATCAGTCCCGACAGGTCCCCCGACAGGGCCAGGGCCAGAGGCCATGCATGCAGGGTCCCGCAGGCGGAGTGGCCGACCGGGGCAACGTCCGCGGCGGAAGCACCCTCGCAGGGGGGCGCCGGGGCGCCCTCCCAGCTGACGTTGGGCGGCGCAGCCTCCTCGGACGAGTGGGGCATGGACATTCGGCCGTGGGCGTGTGCGAGCGCGAGGCGGCCAGACGGGCGGGCGGGGCGATGGAGCTGGAGGCAGGGAGGCACGATTCCGTCAAGGAGGTGCGTGCTCGCGTGGGGGAAGTGGCGGGGCAGGTGGCGGTGCGAGGGGCGTCGGGGGGGAGGGGGGGGAGGAAAGTGTCGTAGAAAGAACAGGGAGAAAAGCGACGGCACGGGCGGTGAGGGGGGCGGTGACCGACGATGGCTCCCAGGCCATGCGCGCGGGATCTGCCCTTTTGAGCGGCAGTCCCGAGGCTAGAGATCGACCGGGGGGGGGGGGGGGACCCGAGTCGTGTAGCTTCATGGCCCGCGGTGTCCCGCCCAGAGAGTGAGGTGAACCTGGCGTGTGGCCAGGGGAGAGATCCCAGCATGTCGGCCTGTGTGGAGGGGAGCTGGGCGAAATGCGTGGATTCGCTCGAGGAGCTACCCAGCCTGGGGAAGCACTCACGCGGTGTGGATGTGCATCGGCACAGCGCGGCATAGACCTCGTCGATGTTGTTTTCGCCCCGGCAGGGGGAGTGGGCTGCCCCACCACGCTCGAAGGGGGGCGGGGGAGCTCTCCGCCTTCCGCCGGGGCCGATATGTCACCCGGCCCAGTGCACGATCTTGTCGGCGCCGCCGCCGGCCCGGAGGCCCCCACCAACGCCGACAGGGGGCGTCCGGACTCCCAGCCAAGACCCGCCCCGCCCCCGCCGCCGCCCCACGAAGAGACGGGGGCAAGGAGTGCGGGTGCCCCCCCCCCCCCCATGCATGTCCCGCTTGGGCCACCACCCCACAGGGACTTAATCCCCCCGGGTGGATGCTCGCAGGACCGCCGGCGCAGAGGCAGTCGAAGACTTCGAGCCCCTCACGGGGGCAGGCCCGGGGAGGATGGGTCGTCGCGCTCCCCCTTGCACAACACACACAGGTGTACACACACACACACGCATGTAACGCACAGTGTTCCCGCTTTTTGATGGGCACAGGGGCCGAGACAGGCAGTCCAAGCCCCCTGCCCGCTGCACAATGCTGGTCAATCTTTTCCCCATCAATCGGTGGATCATCTGTCCGTGGCACGTGAGCAAATCGCAGAGGAATGTCGTTCAAAGTTGAGCAGAACATGAAGACCGCGAAAATATCCGGAATGCTGAGATCTCAGAGTGGTGTATTCGAGCACGTTTCTCGCCCATTTGGCCTGTCCATGTGTGTGTGTGTGTGTGTGTGTATGTGTGTGTGTGTGTGTGTGTGTGTGTGTGTGTGTGTGTGTCTGTGTCTGTGTGTCTGTGTATGCCAGTGTCTCGCTGCTCTATTTGGCTTCACTCACCGATCACGGCATAGAGGGCGCGCTCGCCGAGAGCCAGACGGGAGACCGCGCGCCCGGGAACCGCAAAGGAGGCCCACTCGGGAGCCGAGCCTGACGCCAGCATCCCGGGCATGAGGGCCGGGAGCCGGGATTCCGGCCCGGGGAGAGCCGGGCCAGCCACCAGCAGCAGGCCATTGTCCAGGAGCAGAGCCGCGCGGGAAAAGCCGGCCACAGCCAGGCGGACCTTTCGCTGGCCGAAAATGTCCACCAACCGAGGGAGGTGTCGGGTGTCAGGGCCCGCCGAGGTGGAGGAGAGTCGCCCCGGAGCATGGGCACCGAAATGCACGGGCCACCGGTCGCCAGCCGGCAAGACCGCAGTCAGGCCGACCGGGTCGTCGCCCCACACCTCAACCCGGCCGGAGCGGCGGACAGCCAAACCAAACTGCGCCCCGGCGGCCAGGTCCACCACCGGGTCGTCGGACTCCTCGGCCAGGGGAATGCACACCGGCTGGGCCAGCCGGTCGGCGCCCGGGGTGACCGGCGTCCCACACTGGCCATACTCGTTGTTGCCCCAGGCAAAGACCCGGCCATCGGCCGTCAGGGCCAGGGTGAAGTCCGCCCCGCAGACAAGTCGCGTCGGGGCGGGCATCCCCGCCGGAGCGGCCGAGGTGTCGCATGCTCCGGCCACCTGCGCCGGCATGCTCAGGGCCTTCAGCAGCCCGGTGGACGAGGCAAATGGCCCAAGCTGGCAATCGGCATCCCACCCGGAGGCCACGATCCCGGAGGGGGAAGACCCGCCAGCATGGCCGCCCGAGGGAGACCGCATGGCCACAACAGTGTGGTCGAGCCCGGCAGACAGAGCAGTCACCGGCTGGCCGACCGGGGCCAGAGCCAGCTGGAATCCCTCGCGCCGCCCGGCCTGGGCACCAAGCTGGCCGAAAATGTTGGCTCCCTGCAGGGCAAGCACCTGCTCGGGGGTGCCGGTCCCGGTGCCGGAGACCCGCTGGAGTAGGGCGGCGCCATGTGCCCGCCCGGTGGCCAGAGCCTCCACACGCCAGGACTCCGGCAGGGACGTGCGGCTAACATCGATGTCTGGGAGAACCAGGCGATCGGCCTCGGGCGCCGGCACCAGGCCGTCCGTCAGCCGGCTCTCGTGGGCGTCGAGGTCCATCAGCAACCCGGCGCCAAGTTGCCCGTGGGTGTTTACTCCGGCTCCGCGGAGGGTGTCCCCGGTGTCAGGCCGGCGCTCGGTCCAGAGGACATGATGCGGCCCGGCGGCCAGATGCGGAACGGCGCCGCCGGCGCGGCCCAGCCGGGTCGGCGCGGCCATCGTGCCCGTGGCTCCGGGGAAGATCTCCCCCGCCAGCAGGTGAAGGCTCTCATTGGTGCCGGCCGGCAGGGAGGCCAAGCCACGCCGGAGGAGAGCGCGTGCCGCCGTCGGCCGGCGGAGGGAGAGCAGCGAAGAGGCGAGCATGACAGGGAAGCAGGTGCCTCTCTTTTCCCAAGGTGTAATAGGGCAGGGAAGGAACGCGTGTTGTCTGTGCGAAGGCGCGGCAGCCAGGGACAAGGATGTGTGGGTAGAAGAGGCGAGGAGGGGGCGAAGGACGGCGGGGGGGGGGGAGGTCGGGTTCATGGATGCGACTCCCCTCACCCACCCAGGGCGGGGGGCCTGGGGCAGAAGAAGCTGCCAACTGCCAACGATTCCGCGCCTCGTCGGGCACGCCCCGTCCACCGCCGGCGCGTGCTTCCCCCTCCGAGAGGGGGGGGGGGGGGGGGGGAGGCGGGCCGCCGGGATGCGGATGCCCGGGCGCCGTCCGTCGGTGGCTCGTGTGCCCGTCTCCCGTGCATGGGGCCAGAGCGAGGGGGCGAGCATTCCAGCCGAGGGCCGTCGGGAGGAGCGCGATCGATCTGGCAGCGAGTCTAAACCGTTCAACCGGCCGCCCACAGGACCGGGGGGAGGGGGGGGGTGTGGGTGGGCAGGAGGTCCGGCCGGGAGCGAGCCCGACGACCCCTTTCCCGGCCACGGCCATTGGAATGCCCTCCAACGGGGGCCCTGGTGAGGCAAGGGGGGGGGAGGGGGGCATTGGCGGCGGTTTTCATCCGCCCCTGTTTTCAGTGTTCTTCGGTTAGGAGCGCGGGCGCGCGGGCACCCCAGAACCGAGAAGGTCCGGGCGCAAGTTCCATGCCCCAGCCATGAGGCTGTGCATGGGCGCATGGGTGCATGGGCGTGTGTGTGTGTGTGTGTCCGTGTGCGCGCGCAATCTGCCACCCACTGCATGGTGTTTACATCCCCCCCCCCCCCCGATGGTGTTTGTGTTTGGGGCGCGGAGGGGGGAGGTGCTCACCGTGGTCAGCCCCTCTTTTGTTGTGCCCCACCGGGCTCTCGAGCCCAGCCTCTAGACAAGGCCCCTCCCCTCCTCCCTTGCCCCCCGCTCGTCCTATTCCACGGCGCCCTGGTCTGTTTGCTTGCTCCGTTCATCATACTGCTGGTCCTGCTGTCGCCGCCCGCCTTGGACACACTGCTCCTCAGCTGCAGTCCTAAAAACCATCTGCACGGAAGGGACCTCCTGTTACGTTCACCCCGAAGGTGATCTGGCGCTCTAGCCCCTCCCCATCTACTTCCCCCAAAGTACGCCTTTCTCCCTGTCCCCCCGTTTCCTGCGCCCCTTTCCCCATCCCCCCTCCTCGACTCTGGCTTTGCCTGCCTTCCCCGAGTGCATGTCCCCTTCTGATGGCCACCTCAGTGGCCTCGCCCACGGTGTGTGTGTGTGCCTTCGCCTCGGCGAAGTAAGCTCGGCAGGAGCCCGGACCCGCACTGTGTGGCATTCCGTCGCCTGAGATGCGCCCTCCCCTGCCGACTCCCCTTCCACACGCCGCCCGCCGGGCTGTGGGTGTGATTGCGCGCCGTATGTGCGGTTGTGCCGCTCCCAGCGGGCCATCTTGCCCTGTTGGCGGGCCCTCTCTCGACGCAGGCTGCCAGGCCGGCGCCACGGCCGCAAACACAGGCGAACTCAGGACAGGGAACCGGCGGCGGCTGCCAGCTGCCAACGTAGAAGCCCCTGTTTAATCACCCCATGTCCGGGGCGTGGGACAGACACAGAAGAGAACGGCCAAGCGAGCGGGCGCAGGGGGGAGGACACCTGCGATCACACTGCCCCCCCTCCCTGCCCTCGGGCGGGCCAGAGTCGGGGGACAGATGTTGACGCATGCGCCGCCAAGGGGCTCGCACGGAGCACATCGACTCTTGTGCTCTCATGAGTCTGCACCTGCCTGTGTGTGTGATGGTTATGCTGGTCGAGAGGAGCGCCCGCCTGACGTGTTGTCCCTCGGGGGTGTAGGCATTTTAACTTTGCTTAAGCTCTCTCTCTCTCTCTCTCTCTGCCCTCCTCACGGTGTCTATTGGGAGTAGGGCTTTAGTTAATTTGAGTGCCCTGCTCCCTGCGAATGTGGCCAAGGGACCGGCGATCGCCACCATGACTCTTCCCATGGGCTCGTAGCTTAAGAGCCCCATGTGCGAGTCGGAGACAGCCTCTATCACCGCCCTGCGCCTCTCCCCCCCTCCCTCCCCCCCCCCCCCGTCCCCTGGCTCCCCTGTGCCCTTCCTCCTCCCCTTTGCTATGACCGTTCCATTGGCCGGGGATAGTCACCCGCGCGCTGGACGGTCCGGCCTTCCGCACCCTCCCTCCAAGGCCCCCAATGCCGCTGCCAACATGTTCCCCGTGCCTGTGACTGACACATGGCCGCTTCCCGTCAGCCAGTCGGCTGCCTCGCTGCTGATGAGCCACGCCCCCGCCGTGCCCGCCTCGTCGCCGCCATTGCAACCGTCACCCCCACCACCACCCTCAGCATCGTCGTCGTCATCCGGCTCCCTGTCCTTGGTGCACCATCAGCACCCCCCCGGGGCCCTCTTTCTCAATCCCCAGTCCGCCGCCGCCACCCCCGCAGCCGCCGACGGTTCCGGCATCCCGGACCCGCACAGCCTCCGTGCCAACTTCTGGCGGACTTCCCCCACCGGAAGCTTTCCCTCGCTTTTTCTCCAGCCCCCAGCCAACGCCCCAGCCGCCACACCAGCCGCCAGTGCCGCCGCCACCGCCGCCCTCACCATGGGCGAGACACTTGAAGGTGCCCGGCGCGGGATCTTCTTCGGCTTCCGGTCGCGGTCGTCCAGCACCGGGGCCACCTCGGCCGCCTTCCCCGGGACGGGCCCTGGCTCGCCGGCTCCCGGGGGCACGTCCGCTGCCCAGCCTCTGTCGCAGGTTCCCTACCGGTATTCGGCCACCCCGGCTGCCGTGGCGGCCTCTGCCCTGCATGAAGATGTCATTTTGGAGAGTCGCATGGATCCTCCCGCCTCCGGGGGCCTGGCTGCCTTCGGTGATGCGGCCCCGGCGGTCGGTGGCAGCCGGCCTCGCTCACGCTCCGGGATATCTGTCCATACGGCCACCTCGCCCACGCCGGAATCCGATGGCGGGTCGTCCTCGTCGCTGCCCTTTGGCGACTTGCTGACTGGTGTTGGCTTGTCGTCTGCCTCGACCACCGGTCCCCCGAGTAGCAAATCCGTGCCGGCTTCGCCTCGTGGCACCCGCACCTTGCTCTTTTCTAGGAAGTCCACCTCTCCAGAGTGCGTGTCTCTTTGCTTGGCTCCCCTCTTGGCGCTGTCCTTGGGCAAGTTGCCGGGCAATCTGCGTGGGCAATCTGCGTGGGCAATCTGCCACTCGCTGAATGTTAATTGCGGCCAAGATGGCTGACTCCCGGCTTGCCCCTCCTGCCTGGCAGCATGCCGCCCTGCGTTGATGCGACTGGAGCCATGGATTCGATGCATGGCCGGTCCCGGCAAAGTCTCTCCAACCGCGTGACGGCCGAAATGCTGTCCCAGTGGCTGCCAATGGGCGAAGCCCCAGCACCCGGGGATCTTGGCGACTCTGCCAGTCGACCGGCGTCTCAGCCACCGAGCCCCACGGTGTCACTGGTCGGCGGTGTGTCTCGATCGGCCGCGACCACCCCCCCGGCTGATGGGATCCCCAAAAGCCGTCGAGAGAAGTTCCTGCACCTGCTGGAGCAGCCGACCGTCGAGTTGGCCAAATTGCGTGAACTCAGCTGGAACGGAATACCCAACGATCTGCGTGCGACTGTGTGGCAGCTGTTGATGGTACGCCCGGCGGTGCCCCTCCTTCGTGCCCCTCCCCCCCTGGCCGACTGTGTCGATTGACAGAATCCAACTCCCTATCCCCTGCACACACACACACACACACACGCACGCACGCGCACTACAAACCTGGTCACAGGGCTACCTGCCAGTCAATCGGGCCCGAAGGGAGGAGGCGCGCCAGCAGAAGCGCCGCGAATACTTCGCCGCCGTGGCAGACTACTGGCATGACGATTCCTCCCTGCACGGGGACACCCCCTCCACCACTGACTCAGACTCCCTTCATCAGATCCGTCTGGACATTCCTCGGACTGATCCGAATATCCCTCTCTATCAGCACCCGATTATCCAACGGGTGCGCACGCACTGCGTCCTCTTCATCCTTGTTCTCTCCCTCCCTCTCTCTCTCTCTCTCTCTCTCTCTCTCTCGCGCGCGCGCACACACACACACACACGCACGCACTTTGTTGTGCCCCAGCTGACTCACATCCATGTCACCACCGTCCCGATCAGAGCCTTGAGCGCTCGCTGTATATTTGGACCATCCGCCACCCAGCTAGCGGCTACGTCCAGGGGATCAATGACTTGCTGATGCCCTTCTTCATGGTGTTCCTCTCGAGCTATATCGGCCGTATGTTGCCTTGCATGACCCCATGCCCTGCCAACACCCCTCCGTCCCCTCCCCTGCGCCCCTCCCTTCTGACCCCTCGGCATCCTGCTCACGCTCCATCCTTACTGCTTGCTTCGTGGTCTCTGCCCGGAGTAGAAAATGCCCTTGATTGTGACCCAGCTGAGGTGCCAGCCGAAATCCTGGCCGCCACCGAGGCCGACAGTTTTTGGTGCCTCAGCCGCCTCCTGGATGGCAACCAAGTAAGTGCCTCCTCTTCTTCCGTTTTCCCAACCCCTTGGTTGCGCCTCCCCTCTCTCCCCCCTCCCCTTCCTCGGATGTCCTTCTGACGAGCACGCACCCCCCCCCCCCCCCAAACTCAATGCTCTCTTCTTCGGCTTCACAGGACAGTTATACTCATGGGCAGCCGGGTATTCTCCGGCAGGTCAACCGCCTTGAGGATTTGATCATCCGCCTTGATGGTGCGCTTCCCTGCCCCTGTGTCTATGCCTCCTTCTTTGAGTGTCCCCGTTTGCCGATCAAGGCCATTCCAGCCCTCATCAATGGCCTAACTCGTCCCCCCCCCCCTCAGGCACCCTTCACCGGCACATCATCAACGAGGGCATTGCCTTCATCCAATTTGCATTCCGCTGGATGAACTGCCTGCTGATGCGTGAAATGTGCCTCGGAAACACGATCCGCATGTGGGACACCTACATTGTGCGTGCCCACCATTTCCGTCCCCTCCTTCTGTGGGATTGGCTCTTGCCCGATCGCCATGCTGACGGCTTCCTCCCGTCCATTTGTGACCCTCCCCATCTCTCGCTCCTCCGCAGGCTGAGGGCATCGACGCGTGTGTCACCTTCCACCTCTACGTGTGCGCGGCCTTTTTGATGCGCTTCGAGCAGCAGATCAAGTCCATGGATTTCCAGGTACCATGCTTCCACCACCTGGCGCCCTCTCCACACACGGTGCCTCAGCCATCCAACTCACCATTTCCTCTTTCCTCCCGGTGTGCCACCCTCCCTCCCTCCCCCCCCCCCTCCGTCGAGGTGGCCGGATCAGCGCGGACGCACAGACTCTACCGAGTTGCCTGGGCGTCTCTCTCCCTCCCTCTCTCTCTCCCCCCCCCCCCCCCCCCCCCCCCCCCCCCTCCCGGCCCCTTCTCCCCGCCACACAGGGCATCATGCTTTTCATTCAGAGCCCTCCGTCGGCCACCGAGTGGTCGCGGACCGACGTGGAGCTTCTGCTGGCCGAGGCCTTTGTGCTGAAATCCCTCTTCCACAACTCCCCCAAGCACCTGGCCACGGGCGCCGCTGCTGGTGGCAACGCCTAGGCCCCTGGCGTGTGGCACGCGACGCGCAGCACTCCCGGCTGAAGAGAAGAAAATACACGCAAACACCTTTGATCTGTTTCCCCCCCCCCCCCTCTCTCTCTCTCTCTTTCTCTCTCTCTCTCTCTCTTTCTCTCTCTCTCTCTCTCTCTCTTTTTCTCTCTCTCTCTCCCCTTCCTACCCAGCACTTCTGGCGCATATGCCATTCGAACAGCGTCAACAACGCGAATCTGATCCTTCAGAATGGGGCCAGGGTCGGTGTCTTGCCCCCTGCCAGAGCTCATCCAAGCGCGGGCAGTTCCGCCGGACACGACCGCCCCGGCTACCAGCGGCACCGGCAGCGGCCGCCTGGTGGGGGGGGGCCGATCGTGCGGTCAGCTGGAGCACTCACACGGGCCGGCGCCCGGCCCCAGGCCGGCATTCAAAATACCTTGGCCCGTGGTGATGGTCACCAGCTTGGGGCCGGGTTGGCGGATCTAAAAAATACACGCCCCGGGCTTGGAACACAGGCCAAGGCGCATATATTCCTCCTCCTCCTCCTCCTCCCCCGTCCGCCCCTTCATTCCAGGCAAACCCACGCGCACACAGTTCCCCGTCCTCCCCCGCCCCCTTCCCTCGCTTCTTCTCCTCCACCTTAGGCGTATCACCTCCAGTATGTCGGCCACAATGTCTGCGGCCGAGCGGGAAATCCTCCTGGACAAGCTTTTCGCTGCCCGGCTGGGCCTGCTCGATCTATACGTGGCTACGCAGGTTCACCTGTCTGAGTCTCTGAAGTCTGTACGGCTCGCCATCCTTTTCACTCGCCCACTCCCTCTCCCCTCTCAGCCTCACACACACTAACCTGCAGCGCGGCTTGATGGCGATAGGGCTTTTTCGAGTTGGCACGCGCCCGGCAGACGTCCACCGGACACCGCATCGATCCGGCCAACTTCGATCACCGTATGAAGGCACTGCTTTACCTGGAGACGGATGATGCTCTCCACATGGCCGCGCCCGATCGCTTGGATGCCCTGCTGTGCGTTGTCGCCCCCTTTGTTCCCCGTTGAAAGCGCGCGTCTCCTCTCACATCCCCGGGGTCCCTATTTCGCTTTTACCTTTCTCTGACCCCCTATCCAGCCAAGGAGAGGATCTTCTGGCAAGCTCACATCGCCCGGCTTCGGTGATGGTGCTTCGCACCTTCAACCCCGGCGACCCAGTCCCACAGACAGAGGCGCACCCCGCTACAGTGGCTGATGATGCTGCTGCTGCGGCGGCGGCGGCGACGACGGCTGCCTCTCCTGCGGCTGTCGCTTCCGGCCCTGCCGCTCCCCTGTCCAAAACCGAGGCCCATGCGACCACTGCCCCCCCCGGCGTGACCTCCCTGGCTAGCGACATCCATGCGGCCCTAGATCGGTCCTCAGCCATCCTGGAGCAGGTGACCAAGGCCTTGGCCGACTCGTCCTTTGCCGAGACCGAGGCCGAGGCGGCCGAGAAGCGCCAGCCGCCGGCGGTGCGGAAATCCATGCGTACCAGCGCCTCCGGGAGCTCCATCACTCGGAATGCCCTGTCGGACCTTCGGTCGCGCGTGGCCTCGGAACTGGTCAACCAGCGGCCATCGTCCTCTGAGCAGGATGCCCCTGCTGAGGGTGATGGTGACGACGCTGATGGTGACGGCCACGCTGGGGACATGTCTTCGGATGAGGAGCCTCCGGAGCCCACCCTGCGCAACCCGGCCAACTGGTTCGGTGCGCTGGTTCCCCCAGCCCTGCGCCAATCGCAGAAGCACTTCCGCAGTGGTGCGTTCCCCCCCCCCCCTCCCCACTCCCCCCTTCCCCACTTTCCCCGAGAAAATGCCCCTCTTTCTTCGGTTTGCCTGCCTTTGTCCCTCTATTGCTCCTTTTGCTCCCTCCTCTCGCGGGATGCCCTGTTGCACTCTATTTCCTTGCCGTTGGTACATGAGCTCTCACATCCACCTAGCTGTCGGTCACATCGAATTGCTGGCCAACATCTCCATCGAGATGGCGTCGATCGATGCCCTCGAGCATCAGCTGAAGACAGCTGATTCTGAGTAAAGGGGTCATGTCCATGGATGGGCGGCTCCTCCTTGCCCCTGCTCCCCCCCCCCCCCTGCGCCCTGCGCCCCGCCCCCCCCCCCCCCCCTCTTGCGCACGCGAT